AGCCCGCAACCCAGGCATGTGCCCTTGACTGGAATAGAACCTGGCCACCCTTCAGTCCACAGGCTGACACTATCCACTTGAGCCAAACCAGCTAGGGCTACAGTTTTGAGGTTTTAAACAATGAAAATTAGATTACTACAACAGAATAAACTGACTCCGAAAATAAAGTTATTGACATCTGAGATGCTCTCAGAAAAGGAATGGACCAAATACTGACGGCATAAGCTTTGTCTGGACACCACTCACTCAATGAGGCATAAAAGCCTCAAAGGTATGGACTATGTTGTGTCTTCTCTGTGCCTTCAACAGAGCTTAGCACAAAACAGACGCTAAATACCCATAAACAGAAGGAAATAGTTGCCCACTAGTTAGTGCCCTACTATTTTATTTTCCTAATAAACATTGTAAATTATCTGTCCCAATCTTCTCTAAAGCCCAGTTGCCTAGAAGAGAAATGAACATTTCAGGTATCAAGAGTTCAAAGGGTTTTAGTGTTTTCTGTCCAAAAAGTCAGTGAGATGCTTTACCCTTTCCACTGTGGAACTAAAGGAAAAGACCTCAAAACAAAGTGGCCTTGTTAAACCCCCTCCCAATGGCATCTTGTGAGGTCCTATACATAGTACAAAGAGGGCAAATCCCATGACTAAAATACTAAGAGTCCTGTGTATTTCCCCATCCATCCTGAGGAAAAGTATATCTCCTACCCTCAGGTTTCTGGTTAGATTCCCAAGCCAGAACAAATCTCAGAGTGTGGTCTGACTTTTAGGGGTTTGTGTTAAAATGTGAGGTCTTTTGCTACAAGACTTGCATAAGGCAGCCCTAGCTGGTTTGGGTCAGTGGATAGAGTGTTGGCCTGCGGACTGAGGGGTCCCAGGTTCGATTCTAGTCAAGGGCACATGCCTGGGTTGCGGGCACCATCCCCAGTGGGGGGTGTACAGGAGGCAGCCAATCAATGATTCTCTCTCATCATTGATGTTTCTACCTCTCTCCTTCTCCCTTCCTCTATGAAATAAAAAAAAATTAAAAAAGACTTGCCTAAGGCAATTTAAAAGCAGCTCTAGAATGTAAATGGAATGTCTCAAGATCCTCAGCAATTTACTACTTGGACTTCTCATCTTTTCTAGAAAATGAGACCCTCTCTTAAAATAAATCTCTTAAGATACTGAAGATCTGTTACTTTCAGCTGAGGGCATTAAATAAGTATCTGAGAGAGGGCTTGGTTTTAACTCTATACCTCTTCTGTTTCTCTAGTAGGAAGACCCTAAATGTGGGTGTCAGGGGTGGGATGAGGCTGAGCAACAAAAAAGATAGCTATTTATTTGGCCACTGAGCCCTTTGTGAATTTTTGGTGGGTAGACCATACCTATGACAAGATCAAATTTAAACACTGTAAATGGGGGATGACTTAAACCTAAGACTCCACACATGCTAAAGTCTGATTTTGTAGATTTGAGATTTGAGGTTCCTAGGCCAATAGGAATTACCCACAGAATATTATTACTGTCTCAGACTCACCTCAATTATAACTAAAATAGCTAGTAAAGAGGTTTACTCCACCACAATTATCACCATTACCACCACTGAAAACTCCTTAAAGGGCAAAAATGGAATGGATACCCCCAAATAATCCAGTAGCAAATACTTAACCTTTACAGTGCCATCAGAGGACGCACTAATAATATAATGTCCATCTTGTGTAAATGTTGCTTCATTAACAAAGGAAGAATGGCCACGAAATTCCTTCAGGGTCTTCCCAGATTTTAAACCATGAATTCTGTCACACATAAAAGGAAATGAAAAGAACAATTAATATTCTATCTATTATGGTTGAGACCAAGTGTTGAATACATTTTAGATGAATTACAGAAGCTCCTGTTATAATATTAAGTGAAGAAACGAGGCTATGCATTTACGTATGCAGTATAATTTTCATTATGTCAAACAATCAAACAAAAATAAAACCAAAGGTTGGCACAGAAACTGGTAGAAAATATGCAAATAATACCACAGGTTTCTGTTCAGGGACAGACTTCTAGGTCTTGGCTAGATCCCAGGAATCTGTATTTGTAATATGCCCTCTAACATGATTCTGATGCAGGTGGGTAATGACTCAAGTAGACAAAATTATAGCAGTGTCAGCTGTACTCTGCCTGGGGAAATGAGGTCTCACATACCCCACTCTCTATATAATACCATCCTGGTGAAAGTATAAGGAATCACTAGTACTTCCCTTCAGAGCTTCATCACATCAAACCCAAGTAAGGGCAGTGGGGATTCTTACTTACCTAATTGTCTGGTCAAAAGAGGCACTGAGGATCTGACTGCTATCCTTAGAAAAGCTTAGACAGGTGACACCTTTACTGTGTGCCCTTTCAAATCTCCTTAAACACTGTCCACTCTGAATTTTCCAGACCTTTATTAAAAAAAAAGAATAGTAAAAACTTATAAACAGAATGTCCATAGAGCCAAGCAAGATGCAATGCTCACTAATGTACTAAAACAGCATTAAAAATGCATGCTAATAGCTGAATATGATGTTTGATTTACACAGAACAATGATAACTGAATCCTTTGAAAGTTAAACCTCTTTCCTTGTAAATTATTAAAACAAAAATTTAGACTAAGTTCACTTAGCAGAGACTACTTCTGTATTTTACCTAGCTCAGGGCATTTTACCAGCAATTAAATACAAGCCACAGCTAATCAACTGCAGACTACCCCATTCCTTAAAAAAATCCCATTCACTAGAAACAAACAAACAAAACACACAAAGTACAACACAGCATATAAAGTGAGCAATGGTGGTACAGCAGAAAGGGCATGAGCAGATTTGAATTGAAGTCTCAGACCTACTGCTCACTAACTGTGACCTTAAACAAATTATTGGAACTCACTAGGCAGAGTTGTTATTAGGATTAAACAAGAAAAAGTAAACTGATTATCAGCACAAAATTGATGCTCAACAAACAGTAGCTGTTATCAAGCTCATATCATATGTAGGACACTCCCTCATCACAGAACTCTCCGAATGTCTGCATATAAGAGTTTTTGCCACTTATCCATACCTTGATTTTTCCATCTTGAGCCCCAGTTGCTAACATTTCTGTATCTCTGCTGAAACACATGCAGAGAACAGCATCATCCATCATCATAAAGTTATCCTGGGCCTGGTACTTAAGATCCTAAAGGAAACAATGATAAGCAGTTATCAAAACAACAAAAAACCCAATTACCCCAGATCTCTACAAACTCACTAAAATCAGGATAATGGCTTGTACATACCCTAAATCTCCAAAGCAAATAGTAGTGGCATGCACACAAATTCCTAACAAATGATTAATACTGGGAATAAATTTTACACAATTCAAACATTATAAAAAATGCCAACATAACAGCTTATATCTTTTGCTTACTAATCTTTTTTCTTTTAAATAAACACTTTTATTACATGAAAAAAAATATGGAACACTTTATGAATTTGCATGTCACCCTTGTGCAGGGGCCACGCTAATCTTCTCGGTATCATCCAATTTTAGTATATGTGCTACTGAAGCGAGCATGCTTACTAATCTTTTCTAAGCAGAATTTCCCTACAATTTATCTTATTGTTGACATTATTACAGATGCCCCCATCATATTCCTCACCTTTGCCCACCTCCACCCCTCCCCTGGCCTTCACCACACTGTTGTCTGTCTCCATGGGTGCACAGTTTCATATTGTACATCTTAAATAAATCTGAATTTATTTATCTTAGGGGTATAATGTGAGAAACTAATGTTTTTTCCAAATTGTCAGCTCCTTTCCCTCAAACCATGTACTGACTAATATATTTAATTATCATCCATTTTATGGATGCTTATCAACCATTATTGTTCAAACAGAAGTATCTCCATTTTTAAAAAATTATAAACTGAGACTGCTTCATGGTGTTGTTTTTTTAAAAAAAAAGACAAACTATAAAAAATACATATAAAGTAGAAAGTGAATATCACTCATTACTTCACTACCCAAGTAGAATTCAGTACTCTTATGATAAAGATTACAATTTAAATCAGTGTAAAGTCAATAAATAGCTATTTGGGGAAATGATTAAATTTTATCTACACCAACTTTATCTCACTAAAGAAATTTCAGATGGATCAAAAATTGAACATAAATGAAACATAAGAAGATTAGAAGAAATTGTGGAAGATGGATAAATATGATGATATAAAAGATTTTAAGTCTATAAAGCAAAACCATAAGCAAAATCAAGACAAAAGTCAAAACTGAAAAATATTTGCAATATAGATTGCAAAGGTTGATTCCCTCAAACTTCAAAAAGCTCCAACAGCCTGACCAGTGTGGCTCAGTGAATTGAGTGTCAACCTATGAACCAGAAGGTAGAGGTCAGATTCCCAGTCAGGGCACATGTCCGTGTTGCAGGCTCGATCCCCAGTAGGAGGCGTGCAAGAGGCAGCATATCAACCATCCTCTCACATCATTGATGTTTCTATCTCCCACTCCCTTCCTCTCTGAAATCAATAAAAATATATTTTAAAAAATAATAATAAAAATAAAAAGCTCCAACAAATCAGTTAAATTACAATCCAAAAGAAAAATGGGCAGCCCTGGCCAGTGTGGATCAGTTGGTTGGGCATCATCCCATGAACCAAAAGGTTGCTGGTTCAATTACCAATTAGGGCACATGCTTGGGTTGCAGGTTCAATCCCTGGTAGGAGCGTATAGGAGGCAGCTGATCAATATTTCACTCTCACATCAATGTTTCTCTCTCTCTCTCTCTCCCCCTCTCCCTTTCTCTCTGTCTAAAAATCAACAAAAATATTTTCAAAAAAATAAACTGGAAAAACAAAACAAAACAGGCAAAGGATATGAACACACTTCACAGAATAGGAAATATTAGTGGTTTTTCACATATAAAAAGACATTTTCTCACTCATAATAAGAGAAGCCCATTTAGTACTACAATTAGGTTAGATTGGGCATAAAAAGTAACTGCTTACACATACATACCTAGAATATTCCAGGAAGGTTACACAAGAAACTGGTAACCTGGCTGGACCAAGGAAAGGAACTGACCAGCTGAGGGCCAAGGGTGGGAGCATGACCTTCTACTGAACAGCTTTTCTATTTCATAAAATATTATATCGGATGTACATATCACCCATTCAAAAATAAGTTTAAAGTGTATAAATAGCCCGGCCAGCATGGGTCAGTGGTTGAGTGTCAACCTATGAACCAGGAGATCATGGTTTGATTCCTGGTCAGGGCACATGTCTGGGTTGCTGGCTTGATCCCCAGTGTGAGGTGTGCAGAAGGCAGCCAATCAATGACTCTCAATAAAAATATATTTAAAAAAATAAAAATAAAATGTAGCCTTAGCTGGTTTGACTCAGTGGATAGAGCGTCAGCCTGCGGACTGAAAAGTCCCAGGTTCGGTTCCGGTCAAGGGCACAGGCCTGGGTTGTGGGCTCGATTCCCAGTGTAGAGCATGCAGGAGGCAGCCAATCAATGATTCTCCCTCATCACTGATGTTTCTATCTCTCTCTCCCTTGCCCTTTCTCTCTGAAATCAATAAAAATATATTTTAAAAAATAAATAAAATAAAATAAAGTGTATAAATAACAGATAATTTAAGAATAACAATAGTAATTCTTTCACTAGAAAAGTTAATATATTTTAAATACTTTACCTTCCTGATTTTTCCAGTTGTGAAGTTCCATACTTCAATGAATCCATCAACAGACCCAGTGACCAAATACTGACCATCTGGAGAAAATCGAGCACACTCCACATGTGATTTCTGACCAAACTGTTTGAAATGAAACAATGAAACAGATACATTTTTATCTAGTGGCCTTAAAACAATTCCCATTTTAACCTTTTGGGGAAACCCTGCCCTAGCATGAAGTCATAGCTAGCTTATTCTAATGGAGCACTGGAGGAACATTTCTGTACCTAGACACAGGAAGGTTGTGGATATATTTTCTCTGACCAGTTTTAAGTCTAGCCCAGCCGTGGGCAAACTACGGCCCGCGGGCGGATCCGGCCCGTTTGAATGAATAAAACTAAAAAAAAAAAAGACCGTACCCTTTTATGTAATGATGTTTACTTTTAATTTATATTAGTTCACACAAACACCTCCATCCATGCTTTTTG